GAGAGAGCCAAACTTTTTTCCAAAGTTAAACTTATTTAGAATTTCTTCCTTAACAGGCTGTACATAACTCTAGGAGTTCTGTACTTTCTCAGATCATATGAATGTCCCTGGTCACTTGGACCTGCACCCTCTTCCTCATATAATGGTGGTGGGGAGACTGGAAGGGGAGGTGTGAAAACTGACACTGGGTCTGTGGTCAGCTTGGCAGGTGGGGCTCGTGCTGGAGTGAGAGTTGGAGGAGCTGAGGGTGGTGGGGCCTGCATGCCTGGGGAAGGAGCCTGCACTGCACTAACTACGGGCTCATTATCTTCTGGTCTTACAAACAAAGTAATGACTTCCTCACATTTACTCCTTTTTTCTTTTTCCAAATGTGTTCTTTTCTTTCTAAAGTTGCTTCTAACCACTGCTTAGCACATTCCAGCTCTTTCTTTTTTCTTTCTCTCTTCCTTTTCTCCCCACCACGTTGCTCTCTAATATTGCCACTAAAGTCTGCCATTGTTCAATTTTTAATTTTCCATCTATCTTATATTTCTTTTTCCATTTTGACATATATGTCATGCTACCAGGAAATCTGGACAACATGTATTTTTCATCCCTTTCGGGATCCTCAGCAAGTGTGGAATTACAACAACACTTATTTCCCATTATTTCAGTACTCTGCAATTTAGCTTACAATGGCTTGATATTTTGTGCTTTTTCTTCAAAGAGAGTGCTCTAAGTGAGCACTTTGTGGGGGAGGATAGGTAAAGAAGGCAGCAGAGACAATGTATTACTGCATGCAGGCAGTTTCTAAGGTAGGGAGTATTATGGTTGATGAGGCAGCTGTGGAAACATAATTTAAAGTCTGGGAAACACACAGCTAACTGTTTGACATGAAGACGAACAGGCAGATGGGGCCTCCAGGTCAGTTTATACACACAGAAAAAAGAGAAAACTTTAAACTGAAAATCACAATAATCTATAGACTGGATGTTGATTAACTATTGATTAACATTAGACTGAATATGAACTAAAGTAATAACAGAGAAATCTCTAACAACAACAATGTTATTGTTCACCGTATAGAGGAATTTAAAGGTCCTAAACTCATGGAATACATAAATAAAGAAATGATACACAAACTCCATTCTCTCTGCTCATAGATAAACAGGAAGGCATTTAATGCACATCTGCAGATTCACACATCACATTTTCATCGTCTCATTTTCATCGTCTCAGAAATCCAAAATGTCTTGTCTCTTACTTCTGACATCAGTTTTACAGTTCCAGTTCTACTGTTGTGTATTGGGAATCTTTGGCCAATGGTGTTACCAGACCTCGCTTGCATAGCAATTCTGGCTCCATCATACACTGGATGTGTGTTGGAAGTTCCGAGAAAAGGGTTTTGACTTCATCAGAAGGACAATTAGTCAAGTTGTTGGTTCCTTATCTGTCCAAACCGAGATTCTTTCCCATTCCTGGCCGACTCTCTTGCATGCAAGCAGGGAAAGACGTTTGCCAGAAGTTTCCTGCACAACAACTTAACTTTCCCTCTTTAGCGATTGTTATTCCACATCTCTCCAATCTGAATTCCTTCCTGACTTCTAGGTCAGATTGACCCAGTACATTTGACACAGTACATTTCTTTTCGGTTAAAACATATCTTAATGTGAATCAACCAACAACATGATTTTTAACTATTAATATAATTATATTCCTCTACAACCGCAATAATTACTGGGACAATTCATCGTCATCATCTAGCAAAATTTATTGTGACAGTCCTAACATCATCCACTTCAACCACTGTATAATAATGCATAATAATTTAAAGCGACAGTCGCCAGAGCGTTGAAGTGCAAAAGATTTTCGAAGTTGTTTACAACTTAAATTTTTGTCCTTTCAGTGATAAAGAACAGATGATTATGCAAATAATGATTTTATTAAAGACATGAAACTAATTTTATTTAATTTTTTGTGCATTAGAAAACAAGCTGTTCTATGCATTAAATGTTTTCTGTCTATAACTATGTTTAAGACTCAAAGGCACAGAACTAAATCAAGCTGATGTTTGGAATATTACTGTTAGGAAGCCACTAGGATAAGCAATCGCTATCTTGTTTGCTCACCTGGAGGTCCATAATATCATATTTTGACTCACATCTAGTTCTAGTCTGATCAGAAGAACCTCATTGGTTGTGTTAATGTTCATTCTTATAAGATTGTAATTTTAAAATAACACAAGAAAATCCTGTTTTGATGCATCAAGATGTTAAAGTGAAGGATTCCTTGTTTGATTGACATTTAAAAGCTTTGTTTTGTCTTTTTGTCCAGATCTCCCTCAACATTGTGTGTATAAAGAGGAGGAGGTTCTGAATGAAACAGAACCACAGAGGAACCAACTCATCTCTCATGGCTCTCCAGAAGCTGAGAACCAGGATCAGGAAGGAAGCAATTCTGAAGACCCAGGAAAAAAGAGAAAGAAAGAACAGAAACAAAAGAAGAACTATGAGAAAACCAAACGGGAGAAAGGAAGAACTGACACTGAAAAACAAAAGGCTGGTTTAATTTCTCACGTGAGAACTTACTCAGGTGAGAAGCATTTCTCTTGTGTAACCTGTGGAAAATGTTTTTCTCAAAAAGATACTTTAGATGTTCATATGAGAATTCACAGAGGTGAGAAGCCTTTTTCATGTGGGACCTGTGGAAAGAGTTTTGGGAAGAAAGAACAATTACTTAATCACATGAGGATTCATACGGGTGAGAAGCCTTTCTCATGTGGAACTTGTGGAAAAAGTTTCCAGTTGAAAATATATTTACTTAATCACATGAGTATTCATACAGGTGAGAAGCCTTTCTCATGTGGAACTTGTGGGAAACGTTTCCGGTTGAAAATATGTTTACTTAATCACATGAGTATTCATACGGGTGAGAAGCCTTTCTCATGTGGAACTTGTGGAAAAAGTTTCCAGTTGAAAATGTATTTACAAAATCATCTGACGATTCNGTTTTTAGTATACTAAATAGTTTTTGGTTCCTCTATTAGAAGGTTTAATCAGTTTATTTGTGAGGTCTGTATGTCTCAGACCTCAAAAGGGGGACTGTTGAGAAAAAATGATTATTTTTAGTGTTTAATACAGTTTAATCTTTTTGAACAAATCTTTAAAACTTGAACAGGTTTCTGTTAGTGATTTAAAATTAAATTATGGCTGGGTAAGTATTCAAATGTACCAAGGAAAATGGGGTGATCTGTAGAGCTTCTCCCTGGACCCCTGTGGTCGTAACACATAGGACAGGAGGCCATAGATTAACATATGCAGGAAAGTAGAGGCCAGTATCATTTAAATTACCTTGGGAAACAGGAACTTGCCGAGTTCACAGGAGATCAGACTTCTTCTGTGAACATCTGGGTTGTGTGAAGATTTTGAACCACTAACAGTTAATTTACAAGATATTTTTCTTAGTTATAGATAGCATTCTCTGATGGAACTTGTATTATTTAGTTGTAGAATTAATTTAGATGATGATGAATGGATTTGAAAACTGTATTATTTCTGAATGTTAGAATTAAATGAAAATGTTTTGTTTAGTATTAGAAAATTACTCAGGATTTATGCTAAATGGGGTTTTGGAAAATGATTGTGTTAACCTGTATACTTAGGATGTTTTTTAGGTTAGAAAAAGGAATTGTACCTCATTTTGTTCTGTTGATTTTATGTGTTATTTTTGGTTTAAGGCAGGACTCAATCTTTTGGGATGCTGAGTGCAGAAGAGCAAAACTGGGTTTGTTAACATAAACTTTCCTTAAACTAATTACAGAATTTAAGTTTGTTCCTGAGAATTTATGTAGGGAGAGACTCCGGCTTTCACACATATCTGTGAAATCCTTTTCTCAGTATATCCTTTATTTGGATGGTTTTAAAACCACAGGAGTTCAGGATGAGGCTCTCCTCTTCGTTTGTTAAACAAAAGAGCAAATGGCCTTTGTTCACAGCAGTACATTAGGGGATGTTCTAAGTTTTTCTGAGTGTCCAAGGTAGCTTGGTCAAGCGGAGGTACGCCTTAATTGAATATATTAAAAAGGAAAGACACACCTACATTATAAAAGTTCGCGACCTGGAGTAAGAAGTCAGATTGCTGCCACTATTTTGCCTTTTTTGCACCAGCTCTCTCCAAAGACGCGTCTTTG